GATTTCTTTAGGTACCTCATTCCTTCTGCTGCCTTAGCGCCCTGTTATTACCACAATTATTTTTGTACCTTCTATGAAGAAGGCAGCTATAAAGTATTCATTTCATTTCATTTCTATTTCCTTAATTTCCATTATAATTTCCCATTACTCTGTTTCCAAGACATCTAGGTTTATCTTCACTAATTACTTTTTCATAACTGTAGAAGCTTTTGTAATATGTTTTATATCTCTTGCTAGTTCAATCTAATTCCCTTATCTCTTTCTTCATCAATTTCTTGATCTCAGTTTCTGTATTCTAATATATGCCCAATCCTTAGGTTTAATGTTTAATCCTTAGGCAGCAATAGAAGCCTCTTACTTTGATTTAAAACTAATTGAAACTCTTGTTAGCCACAATAATGTGTCATAGAGATCTATAAGTGCAGAAAAGGGCTCTTCAGCCATCGAAGTCGGACCACATTCTCTGTGTAGTTTTTGTGTTTTACAGGCTCAGATGTGTTTCAGATGATGCATAACATATTGTTTAATGTTGTTTCCCAACGTACCTTTGTCAACTCTCCCTTCATATCTATATAGTCTGATTTGTTTAGATTTAAGATTTTAGTTTTGAACTTAAATAAATTACTTTCAAACTCAATATAAAATTATTTCATGTTATGATAACTCTTCCCTAGAGACTTCTTTTCTACAAGATTACTCTCATTACCCCTTCTTATTACACAAACTAAATCCAAAATACCCTGTCTCTAATTGGTTCTTTGATAGTATGATCTAGAAAACTATCGTACTTGTATTCAATGAAATCGCCTCCACACTAGTATACGACTACACATAATTGGTAAGGTTCCCATTTTGTTTAAAGGGAGACAAGTCTAGAACGAATATCCCTACTGTAAAACACTACCCATTTAGCACTGTATTTGTAAATATAATTACAGCAATAGAGATTGGTACAATGGTATATTGACCTGGATTTTGAGAAGCTATTGTGCTTGCTTGTGAACTCAAAGAAAACAACTTACAAAGGTTTAATGACTTCTGTCATCTAGATTTCCCCCTTCCGTCTAGTTTTCTTTTCTGGAGCATAGGAGGTTGAGAGGCGACCTGATAGAAGTTTATAAAATAATGAGAGGTATAGATAGAGTTGATGGTAGTTGTCTTTTCCCTAGGATGGGGGATTTCAAGACTAGGGGGCACATTTTTAAGGTGAGAGGAAAGAGATTTAAAAAAGACATAAGAGGCAAATGTTTTACACAGAGGGTGTTTCGCGTGTGGAATGATCTTCCTGAGGAAGTGGTGGATGCGGGTACAACTACAATGTTTAAAAAACATTTGGATAGATACATGAATAGGAAAGGTTTGGAGGAATATGGGCCAGGAGCAGGCAGGTGGGACTAATTTAGTTTGGGATTATGTTCGGCGTTGACTAGTTGGACCAAAGGATCTGTTTCTGTTCTGTATGGTTCTATGACTGCAATTCAAGAGGATCTTTAAATATCCAGTAGCAGTAATATTATCAGTCAGGAAAAGCAACCAATCACAAAGATTAATTCTAATAGATAGCAAGCTAGGAAGTGTAAAAGAATCCACCAAATCCTTTCACTTTTAATTTTTGTGGTTTGCACTTACGAAAAACAATGATTGGAAGACATCTGTGGTATTAAGGTAGAGGCCATAATATCATAAACAAACATTAATAGAAAAGTATTTGGAATTTCATGTCATAATGGGAGAAGATTGACATTCAACAAATATAACACTGTTCTTTCACAATCTGGACAGCTTTATAGCAGTCAGTGATAAATTTTCAAACTGTTAAAAGGCCAGCTGTACTTCATTCAACGAGGTGTATATTTCCCAAGGGATTTTGCAGTTATAATAAAATTGTAAATTTTCACCAATTCAATTATTTTGGTTTGATTGAAGTTTGACAGGACCTCAGAAGTGCATTCTCTCGAAAAGTACAGAATCTCTGGCCACAGCTTCTGTGCATCTGCAGACTCTAGATGTTACTGTCAGTTTTAGTGTAGTAATGATGTGAATGCTGATAGTTTTGCCATAATTCCTGCTGCTAAACTAGGGCCATGATACCACCTACAGATGTTACATCACAGAGAACTATGATTAATCATCACTTTTTCTTTCAAGTACACTGTAATTTTAAAATAAACTATGCTAGATGGTACACATCTGAAAGTAAAAAAAAGGACCTGGAAATTCTTAGCAGGTCACTCTGTCTGTGGAGATACAAAAAGGGGCAACCTATCAACAGATCATGAGCAGTTTTTAAGGATAGTGTCACAATACAACATTATTACATTTTTACAGAGGAAAGAAAAAATAGTGTCTCATTATAGGAATAGAAGTATTGGATCTGGTGCCAAAGATCTATATTTTGAAATTTAAAAAGATAAAATATGAAACTTGTTCTTAAATACAGGTGTTGGATTTGGTTCCTACAAATGTTTTGATTATTTTCTACTTTTCACTTGTAATTCTGTTCCAGCAGCTACACAGGAATAATATTCATTTCACAGATGGCTATGAGTTGAAAGAGGATGTTGGTGTTGGATCATACTCCGTGTGCAAGCGATGTGTTCACAAACTCACATCAGTGGACTATGCTGTAAAGGTAAGTCTCCATCTGTCTGCTCAGGAAATGAGCTGCATCCATTTGAACCAATGGGAAGGCATGCATGCACCAAACTTTCTACTACAGCATGAAATGGGGTCCAAACTTTAAATCTACTCTGTACCAGTTTTCTTCCCTCCTGTTATGGATATTAACAAGGATCTAACAAGTGCTATGTGCCCAAGGATATGGTGCAAAACTGCTATTTCTTGTCCAAAATCTTGATAACAGAAATTTATTGACAACTTCAACTAATTCTGGTCCAATTCATGATCCTCAAAATGCAGCAGATGCTGGAAATCTGAAATATAAACAATGATTGATCCTTCTATCAAGAGAAAAGTTTCCTTCCTGCCGACACTATCTATGTCCCTCATAATTTGACATATCTCAGTCATGTCCCCTCTCAGTCTCCTCTGCTCTAAGGAAAATAATACCAGTCTGTCCAATTTCTTTTCATAGCTGAAACTCTTCAGCCTAGGCAACATCTTGGTAAATCTCTTCACATTCCTCCTTTAATTTGGATTCCAGAACTGCACAAGATACTGCAACAGTGGCCTTTTTGAGGGATCTCTGAAGTCAGATCGGCCCAAAGAAAGTGACGAGTATAGGGCACAGCTGGGTACAATATGATTGACGTGGAATAAATGTACTTGTAATTATCACTTAGAATTATTGAAACATTGCATTTTGTCTCGGACTTTATTTGGACCCCTCTTCCAATACCTTGCGAGTGTCCTGTTGACCAAAGCTGCAATGTACTTGCGCAGTCTTCGGCCACCTGAGGAAGAGAGTGTTAAAGGACAACAACATCAGCTCTGACACCAATCTCATGATATACAGACCTGTGGTGGCTCCCGCACTTCTGTATGGTTCTGAGACGTGGACTGCCTACAGCAGACACCTCAAGGCATGGGAGTGATGCTACCTGCACAAGATGCTGTGAATACACTGGGAAGACAGACGCATCAACATCAGTGTCCTCAACCTGGCCAACATCCCCAGCATTGAGGCACTGACACCACCTTGGATTGGCTGCGATGGGCTAGGCATGTCGTCCACATAACTGACACAAGATTCCCCAAGCAGGCGGTCTACTCCCAGCTTCGAAGCAGCAGGTGAGCGCCAGGTAGAAAGAGGAAACATTTCGGGGATACCGTCAAGGCTTCACTGGTGAAGTGCAGCAATCCCATCGACAACTGGGAATCACTGGCCCACTACCGTTCAAAGTGGAGGAGGAGCTTCCAGGAAAGTGTTGAGCACCGCAAGATTTGCTGTCAGGAAAAAGCAGAAGTCAGGTGAAAACAGCAAAACAATTGCACATGTCACACCAATGCCCCATCCACCCCTTCTAAGGACCACCTTTAGCCCCAAGCGTAAGAGTTGTCCTTCTTTATATTATCAGTCTGACGAATGTGCTCTTTGTCCTAATGAACGTCAGTAACCACTATCACCCCCAACTGCACTAGCACAAACCTAATCCACAGTACAAGAAAGATTAGCTTCAATTGAATGTGGAATTCAGGATAACATGATGATGAAGAGTCCACACTGAATATTCCAGGTCACAGAAGCGAGGGAGTTAACTTCATCTTAGAAACATCAGTTGCAGGAAACAAGCAGAAATACTCCAGACTCCATGTTCAGCTGATTTTATGGAGCAAACCAGGATTTTAATTCAGTTCTTCAAAGTATAAGCATATAGTAAGAGCGTTTTAGGTTAAGACTGTGATGTGCAAACCAGTGAGTTCACCCATCCTTCCAGTGCAAGCAATAAGCAAGCTTTGCATTGCTTGTTTATTTAAATGATTGATGGGTGCAGCCAACACTAAACACACTTCTGTGAGGCCACACACCTGAACAGTGGGTGCAAAACAGCCTTAGTCACCTTCATAGCTACAATCAATGCTTGCCTTGCTCTGCTCTGAAGCTGGAGTTCTTGCTCCAGATTTTATGTTGAAATGCAGACTGTTCCTCTTTGAGTTTGAGATAGTGCAATTATTCCTTGTACATCCTAGGTAGATATGAACTCCCAGTGAGAGCCCTATCCACCTCCTCCACTTCCCCTATTGAGCAGCTGGTCTTCCTCTGTGCCAGGTCTGCTCACTCTCCTTGTCATGCTGCAGACAACAGGGACAGAAACAACTGCATTCAAGTCTGGAGTATGCTCTGAGCAGAGCCCTTAAAGTTATACATATAAAATCCCTGCAGTATAGAAAACAGGCCCTTCAGCCCAACCTCCCTAATCTACATATCCCTGAACACTACAGGGCAATTTAGCATGGCCAATCCACCTAAACTGCACATCTTTGGACTATGGGAGGAAACCCATACAGACACAGGGGAGAATGTGCAAATTCCACACAGACAGTCGCCAGAGGGTGGAATTGAACCCAGGTCCCTGGCTTTGTGAGGCAGCAGTGCTAACCACTGAGCCACCATGCCACCATGGACATATTTTGAGCTCAAAGCGGCACCCATAACACCAAATCACAGAGCACCAATTCCAGTGTGCATTTGGTTTTTCTTTGCTGAAGTAGGCAGAGTTGAACACCGTCTGTCATGCAGCGAGCAGTTACTTTGCAATTAAAGGTTTTGTCATGTTAAATTAATAAGACTTACTCATTTTTTCAATTATTCAGGCCCCATGTTTCCATCCTTGCTCTGGAAAGAATATAGATGGGTGGCTGACAGATTTTACTTACTCTGATTCTAGGAACTGCAGAGAATTCATCACAATAAATACGTACAATGTATGCCCTTCCTGTAGTATTTGCAGTAAAGCTATATCCCAACATGATTGCCCTCCAGGGAGCAACGGTGAAAAAGGAGAAACTCAAAAGGAAAAATAGTGGAGGAAAAACCGTTATGTACATTGCTCACACAGGAGTGGATGCGATTGATAACTGTGCTTTAACTCTATTATTTCCAGATCATTGACAAAAGCAAAAGAGATCCATCAGAGGAAATTGAAATTTTATTGCGATATGGACAACATCCAAATATTATCACCCTGAAGGATGTGAGTAGATCAGACACTTAATTACGTTGTACTATTGGGATATATTTGGCACTTGAAAGATGTTGTTCTAACAGATATGGCACAGATTATTGTTAACAATTGTTACATTTCGTGGAAAATGCTTAACCAACTTTCTGCCTTTCGTCTTACTTCCTCTTTGTAATGGTTTGGTAGAATTTATACCCGTGGGAATTGACATTGAATTATGATTGATTCTTTGGTTAGATGACATCAGCACTCTAGCTTCCTTCCATGCAGGCGTAAATCAGAATTCTTTTCAAAGTATGTTTGCACAAGGTGATATGCCAGATAGTAAAAGACTGAGTTGTTTTGACCCAGTAATCTGGTGCCTGAGCTCAGAATTGCCACAGATATCCTGTTGATGATTGTCATGTCAGTTTCACTCATTTATGTCAAGGAGTTAGAATTCTTCCTGCTATTTACAGTAATGTGATAATGGATAGGGTGTTTTCACTAGACGAGTAACTCTGTGATAGCAAACTGCAACATGTTAGGGAAGGTCGACTCTTTCCTGATAGATAAAACCTCTTAGTTCTGGTACTATACAAAATGTATTTTGGATGTTGTCACATCCCTTTGTCATATTTATAAAGTGGAGGTGGATAGTGTGCACAGTACTCATGCTGTGGTCTTACCAAGTTCTGATTCAAGACCAAAGAACTTCTCTGCTTTTTTGTTCCAACCCTCCAGCAGCTAATCCCAGTGCTTTATTTATTTTCTTTGCTTTTATTAACATGTATTATCACTTCTAATGACTAGTGTACATGTATCCTAGATCTCTTTTACATCCACCTCAGACTATTATTTTGCAAGGAATTATATACATCTCTGTAATCCATAATGTATTTCCAAATCAAAATTAATTTACTGATTACACACATTCTACACGTTTATCAACCATTTTGTGTTTTCTTTTTCAGAATCTTCCTCAGTACTAGTTGTGACCCCAATATGGTGTCATTCCTGAATTTAAAAATTGTAGGCAGAATGTTATAGACATGTTATAGCATGTGTGAAAGCATGGTATGCTTAAATTCAGCATGTGGTCTTCCCGCTATCTACCCAATCTGCTTTGAATTTTAGAGGACAGGGATGTTGTGGGGAGGAGATTGGGTATGGGGTGGCTGGATATTCATGCATCCTGTCCACCCATGGGTCCATTGAGACTCCTTAGACTCCCCATCTTATTCTACTTGTGCTGGGGAGTTCCACGTCAAGCATATCATTTAACCCTCCCATCCTTGGCCTCTCAAACCTAGCACCCCTAACTCCTCACTCCCAAGCTGCACTGATGCCATGGTCTTACTTGTAGTTATTAGTTTTAGTTTTGTAACCAGCTAGCTATTCATTATGTTACTTGCTCCAAATTACACATGTACTGACCTTGGTTACATAATTATTATGCAAAACCTGCTGGGCAATCTAATTGGCATGAGCCTCCTCCTACTGGCAGGTAAATAGTGGTGGGAATGGGATGAGGCGTTTAACTGACAATTAATACTTACCAAACCAGTTTTGAAAACTCACATATATTACATCTAGTACATTACCCTTATTTAATCTTTGCGTTGTTTCTTCAAATAATTCAAAATGTCAGACTATTGTGATCTTTCCGTACAAAATTCCTGCTGTCTATTTATTATCATTTTTACTTAAGACATTTTACTATTAAATATTTGAGTAAAGATTCCTCATATTACTTACCATTGACGTTAAGTTTACTGTTCTATACTTCCCATCTCCACTGTTCGAGAGAAATCATATTAAATTTCCATCAGTTCTTTGCCACAGCTCCCTTTTCTAATTAATTTTATGTATAAATAATACCATCTCTGCTGTCTCTTGTCTAATTTATTTTAATATATGTGGATGCAATCCCTTTGGACAAGCATTTATCCTCTCTAAGTTTGATTAGTTTATCAATTATCTCCTCACTCTCAATCTGAAGTTCACTATTCTTTTTCTTTCTTTAAAGTCATGTTCCCTCTATTAGAGCACATCGAGGCAAAATAACTATTCAGTTGTTTCTATCATTTCACTGTATTTGATCACCTTATTAAATATAGTCTGCTGTTTTCACTCTTTGCCATCTATTTTTTCCAATTTACCTTCCCTAGTTTCATTCTATTACTCTCAAAATTCAGCTTCTATCTCACAATTTATTACATTGGTCATTTTCTTGAATCCTTTGTAATCATTATTTTTAAAACCTTATTTTATTGTGATTACTATTGATTTGACATTTCCCTACTGAAAATAAACTAAGGATGTTATTAAACTGGAGAGGGTTCAGAAAAGACTTACCTGCAAGCTACTGGGAATGGAGGGCTTTGGATATAAAAAAAAGACTGGAAAGCCTGGGACTATTTTCACAGGAGCACAGGGGATTGAGGGATGACCTTACTGAGGTTTATAAAATCATAAGAGGCACAGAAAAGGTGAATGACAAGAGTCCTTTCCCTAGGGTGGGGTGTTCAAAACTAGAGGGCACATTTTTAAGGTGAGACAAGAAAGATTTAAATAGGACATGAGGGGCAACTTTTTTACATGGAGTGGTTCATGTGTGGAATGAACTGCCAGAGAAAGTGGGAATGCTGGTACAGTTACAACATTTAAAAGTCATTCGGGTCAGTTCATAAATAGGAAAGGTTTGGAGGGATATGGGCCAAATGCAGGCAGTTTGTTTAGTTTAGGGGATATGATCAGCATGGACTGATTGGACCAAAGTGCCTGTTTCCATGCTGTATGACTCTATTGTTTCTGTGGGACTAAATGATGGAATTGCACAAATTACTGTATCAGTACAAGGGAGACAGTGGTGTAGTGATAATGTAATTTGATTAGTGATCCAGAAGCCCAAGCTAATGCTTAGCGGTCTAGGCTCAAATTACATGATGACAATCAGAGGAGTTTAAATTCAAATGAATGAAATCTGGAAATTAAAACTGAGGTGGAATCTTATATGGACCTGAATGACATGGTTTATGGTACGCTTTGTTAAAAAATCAATCACAAAGTCCAGTTAGGACTGTCTTGACGTTGGGAGCAAAGCAGCTAGAAGGCAGTGCAATGAGTTTCTCGCTAGTCAGCCTTGAGTTACCTATTAAGGAGGATTATTGTTTGTTAACTATTTTATTAACATCACATCTTGCCTCATTAATGTGAAGTTCCCTGTTCCACCAAATGTGCCAAGCAAACAGGATGCTGAAAACTCACAACGTGGAAGTCGGAGCAGGTACCTAGTGACTTCAGCTCACCCTGACTATGGAGATTCAAGTTGCTCAGCACCAGATAGCATCCATCCATGGGCACCAGCCACGTGCATCCCTTGACCATACACATTGGCATCTGATATTTGCCACTGTCTCATGATCTTCATGGCACCTTGCAGAATGCTTAGGAAGTACAGACCTACATTGCAAAATGTACCAGCGACTAGCATTGAAAGGCTGCTGCAGGAACACTTTGAGTAGAGGGACAGGCCACCCATCTCGTGCATTGGACCAGCCTGCATCTCAAGGTTGCTCACTTGCTGTCCTCGTGCTCATATATTATAGCTGGACTATTAATCCAGAGACCCAGGTAATGTTCTGAGGACATGGGTTCGAATCCCACCATGGCAGAAGGTGGAATTTAAATTCAATAAATATATATATTCAAGAATCTAATGATGACCGTGAATCTATTGTGGATTGTCAGAAAAACCCATTTGGTTCACTAATGTTCTTCAGGGAAAGAAACTGCCATCCTTACCTGGTCTGGCCTACATGTGACTCCAGATCCACAGCAATGTAGCTGACTCTGAACTGCCCTCTGGGCAGTTAGTGATGGTCAATAAATGCTGGCCTAGCCAGCGATGGCCTCATCCTGTTAATGAATCAAAAAAACTCACTGAGTGCTTACCAGTACACTAGCAACATTTTGCCTTGCCATGCCATGCCTTGTCTGTTACTGTATTGGCACTTCAGCCAGAGTCAAAGGCTATCTGTACAGCTGTATTGACATGGTCTTTTGTGCAGACAGGGATCTAGCCAGGGAGATGGTGGGGGGAACATCTGGCTGTATGACTCAATGGGGTGGGCATTATTAAGGTGTAATGTAGTGGCACAGGAGGCAGGGAGTACAGTTGGAAGCAAAGTTAAATGTGGTGGGTCTCTGATTATGGGGATAGTTGGAAATGGATTGTCACAAAACAAGATAAAAGGAGAGATGAAGGCTCTGGGCGTTGTTAGACAGTTAGGTAATTCAGTTGAAGAAGAGAGGGTCCTTGATTCTGACCTCATGGGAGTACAAGTTAGTCATTTCGAAGTACCTTATTCATAATTCCAAATTTATCTTATGTATTCCTGTTGGACAAGCCTTCATTTTAGGATCATAACAATCACTCCCTTCAATAGTTACCATCCCTTATCTCTGCAGAGTTACTCACGATCTGGGGGGATCAATAAGACACTGATTCCAGAAAGCACACCAGCAGGGAACTCAATTATTGTTTCTTGATGTTCGTTACATGGCGAACAAAGAGATGAGTCTGCCTTTGCAACTGTGGAGTCTCAGCTACAAATAATTCATTATAAAAAAAGATTGCTTATCATTTACAGTTTTCAAGCCAAAACACAAACTAATTGTCACAATGTACCATTTATTGTTTTTTAGTCTTTTTTACACTGTTGCACACCAAACATATTAAGCTCAGCAGATATCATATTATATTAGCTGAAATTATAATCATAACATACATGATAAAGAGGGAATAGGCATATGACTTCACAGTGTAGTATTACATCAATACCAGCTGAATTGTCCAAGGATAATAACAGAGGACATATCATGCGCTGTGTATTAGAAATGGCTTTATGCAAATTACATGAGCTTGAGGTTATGAACTATGCTATTTTACCTGTGAACCTTCACTGCATAATGTAGCTCATTCAAACGAATAAATCTTACCTGACCTTGTTCTTGTTTGTTTTAATTATTCAGGTGTATGATGATGGAAAGTATTTATATCTTGTCATGGAACTAATGAGAGGAGGGGAACTGCTTGACAGGATTCTACGGCAGAAGTGTTTCTCGGAAAGAGAGGCCAGTGCAGTACTTTATACAATCACAAAGACTGTGGAATACCTACACTCACAAGGGGTATGTTCCAATTGTTAATCTGCTGGATTTCAATTTCAATGATGTATAACAAAAGCATAGAGTTATACGGTATTATATGCTGCCAAAGATAAACTTGGGAGAAACGTGTACATTTTCCTTGAAGCCCTGTTTCTAAATGCTGTCTTTAGCTTGGAACACATACATGTTCTGGGCACACTGCATCTCCAATATTTTCTAGCTTGGAAGGAGGATGAAAAAGTCTGCTCTTGCTGCATTTCTGAAATGTTGAGCAACACAAGCCAGAGGATGCAAATATAACCAGATAACATACGAGCATTCTGGCATCCAAAGATTAAAAACAATTAGTAAAGGCAGAAGGACAGCAACGGCCAGCCCATGTCATTTAAGTAGGACTGCTCAGTTTGTTCCTATTGCAGGCAGAGATCATACTGCAGCTCTTGGGAGAATTTCCACAATTTATAGATGGCTTGGAGCATCAGTCTCTTGAACTCTGCATTCAGTGGGAAATTGCGTGTGAATGTGAAGTAAATGTAACGCAACAAAATGAATGAAATCCTTTCAAGGTCTCAGCTGCAACCATGAAGACAACTAGAGAACAAAGGGTAAGCAGTGAAGTAATACCCATGATCAGGGATAATTTGTATTGGGGCCAAAGGATGAGAGGTAGTTATACAATTCCAACAGCATGCAATCACTGATGTCCATTTTTCTTCAATCAAAAGAGAATCACTCGTGATTATAAACATCCTGCAGAACTTAGTGAAAATGTTCAGGACTAAATATTCAAAATATTTGCACTCAATTTTGACGGCAAAGAAAAAACCAGTAAGAACTGAACACACAGCTTGTTGAACAACAAGCATGCTGAGAAGCATTATGCATATGGTGGGAAGACATGTGAACAACAGACATTTTAAGGAGATGTACCTCCAACCAAAGCCAAGTGCTCTAAGGCAATTCTTATATGATATATGGAAAGGAGCTATTATTGCTACCACTTCTCAGGAATACCACTACCTGTCCTCTAGGCTAAAAACTGTTCCACAAATTGTTCAGAAATCTAAGAGAATAAAGCATGGTATTACATCTATATAGTGTTTTTCCTGACCTATTATTGTCCTAAAAATGTTTTTACAGCCAAGAAAATGCATTTCAAATGTGTTTAGTGTTGCAATGTAGAGAAATAAGGCAGTGAAATAAAAGAACTGCGGATGCTGGAAATCTGAAACAAAAATGGAAATTGCTGGAGAAACTCAGCAGGTCTGGCAGCATCCGTGTAAAGAAAGCAGAGTTAACGTTTTGAGTCCAGTGACCCTTCTTCAGAACTGGTAGCAGCCAGGCAAAGGTGGTATTCACTGATTTAAACATTTACTATATTTATTTTGCATGCTATGTTGATGTAGTCATTAATGATTGTTGGGTTAATTTCAACATTAATATGCTGAATAAAAGAATTTTGTGCCAATGTATTAACCAATAAACTGAGAGTTTTTGCACCAGTTTTTAATGCTGCCTTGTCTCCCATATTCGTGCTCATCCACAGCATTAAACTCTTGCCCCATTGCTCACAAATATTTATATTAAATTTTGCTGACTCATCTTGAGTCATAGCATGTTACAGAGGGATGACGAATAAGCATTTAACAACTGTGCCATAAGACCATGTAAGCTATTATTATGGCACTTGTCATTTGTAATGAATATTCGATTGTGCATTGTGCCTGAACAAAAACAGTATCTTGATTCAACAGTCAAAACACTATGTTGAATATTTGTACGGGCTGTTTGTTTATCTGAAGTTTCAAATCTATTCTTGGAATGAGCAAATTAGTGTTAAGACTAGAAATTTCAAAAACTTGCAGTGAGAACAATGTTGTTAAACCAATAGCTGATGTTGTTAAGTAATATTTTCAGTTGCTCAAAAGAGCGAACAGGATCTCAACACTCATCTCATGTTGAAAAGGTCGGTTTCTCTGACACTAGTCTCTCAATAATCAGGGTAAATTCCAATTCTAGTTGCCTGACACTACTTTCTCCTTTCTGATAAAGGTGACTGTAAATCTTCCAAGTACTCATCCAGTGCCATTCCCAGTGTTGGCTCAGCTCTTAGTAAGATGCTGGGAGAAATTAAGTAAGTTTGCTTTAAATGGACTGTTAGGCTTAATATTTTCCTTTAGGGAGTCAAATACAATAAACTACATAAGGACATGAGCTGTCTTTTTGTAACAGTGATTTCAAAGTGTACTTTCAATCCTTTAAAGTGAGGGTATTAATAATAATTTATGTACTCCTCTATTTTAAATCTTCCTCCCCAGTAGCAGTGAAACTTGAATCATCGTCAATTGCAGACTTATGTTCAGCTGGAGCATCAGAGGCTGCGGAGTGACCTTATACAGGTTTATAAAATCATGCGAAGCATGAATAGGGTGAATAGCCAAGGTCTTTTGTCCAGGGGGTAGGAGAGTCCACAACTAGGTTTAACGTGAGAGGGAAAAGATTTAAAAGGGACCTAAGGGACAACCTTTTCATGCAGAGAGTGGTGTGTGTATGGAATGAGCTGTCAGAGGAAGTGGTGGAGGCTGGTACAATTACGACATTTAAAAGGCATCTGGATGGGTACACGAATAGGAAGGGTTTAGAGGGATATGGGCCAAATACTAGCAAAGCATTCTAGATTAATTTACGGAATTTGGTTGGCATGGACAAGTTGGACTGAACGGTCTGTTTCTGTACTGTGCATCTCTATAACTTCAGAATACTCGTTTACACCAATGCTGAGCACTTGGACACTAATTATTTCATCATTAAGTTGGAAACATATCTTCAAGTATGTAAAAAAAGGACAGAGAACCAAAAGATAGTAGGAACTGCCGATGCTGCAGAATCTGAGATAACAAGGTGTAGAGCTGGATGAACAGAGCAGGCCAAACAGCATCAGAGGAGCAGGAA